TTTAGTAGGAGTCAGTTGCGGCGCCACCTGCCGCCTAAGGCCCCGTTCATGCATCGCGGTTAAAGCGAAATGGCGCTGAAAGGCAAACATAGGTATCGATCTCAAAATTGCCGATTACGCGATCAAAGCGATTGACGATTTGGCGATTATGTTCGAAGGGCTAGGATGCAGGGTCAACCTAACGTTGTTACGAGTAAGTAGGGGGGGGTCGTACCCACTTTAGTCGCTCGAAATCACGTGTGGGATTGAGGTGAAACTAAGATTTCGTGGGTAGTAGGCTGGGCGAGTGGAGGGCGCGCAGGATAAAAATTTGCCGTTTCAGCGCGTGTGTATACCGTCTTCCCGCTCGACGGCATTTTTTGGAGGGAAAAGTGGGCGGGTTTTGGCGTAAGATGGACTGGTATGGAGATGTGGAGGTATGGAAAAGGGGGTCGTATGCAGTCGGGTGAGGGGGACGGTAAATTCTTTCGAAAGTAGCAACAATAGGAAGACCCTGCTAGGATGCACATTGATTGAACTGACGCCGCCCAATAACCATTCGTCCGATACGATATGTCGACGATCCTCTAGTCGATACGCATACATTCCTTTCACCATAACCGTTATGTCATCAAATCGTCAAATCGCATTGAACCGTGATCTATGAACGAGGCAAATGGCGCCGAATGGCGCCAGCGCCAAAAAGCATCATATTCGTGATCAGGACCCTCGATAGCCCCCATGGGAAAAGTTTCAGCATAAATTTATTTTTTGACATCTCACCCTACTGGGGCTGTAATCCTTCTATTTTATAAAGCGCTAACTTTGTGTGTCGGTTTGTGTATCTGTGTGTGTGTGTGCGTGTGTGTGTATGTATGTATGTGTGTCCGTCCGCAAAATGAAGTGAGTGAGAAGGAAGCTCATGGGATAAACAAACCGCTAACAAATCGGGTAGCTTACAGGATTTGAGATATCAATGTTTTGTAGCAGGATAGTTGTGATAACACTCTCAGGGCTATATAAACACCTGCTTAGCACACTTCCGTTCATTCCACATGGTGCTGCAGTGGCAGCTGGAGGGCAGTGGAGAGAGGAAGGGAGGATGAGGAAGGGAAGCGAAAAATCTACCGTCATATCATGATTGTGTCCCTTCTACTGTTTGAAACACCATTGTGTTGCATACGCGTCACTTCCAGAGGTGTTGGTGTCACAGGAGGAAGGGACCATAGCGGAGGATAGAAAGCTTGCGCAGGAAAGGAAGGTCCCGGCGGTTGACGGGGGACTAATCTGGTACAATAATAAAACGTATATTGTATGCTAGCGAAGTAGTTGAGTAATTTTTATCACTATTAAGGAGTAGTCCAAGTAGTCTTTGCAGATGGGTTATAGCTGGCACGTATACGAAGTTATACGAGGTCCACTCTACGTGTTCTATGTGGGTTTCGTTCCCAGCTCGATCGAAAATGGAAATAAAACCAAGCGAACCTAGACATTGTCAACTATCGGTTACTTTTGTCTAGTGTCGCAAGAATTTCGTTTCAAAAACGCACATTGACTGGGAACTGTAGTTTGGTAACACTGCTTCTAGCGGTGAGATCAACTCGCCACATTTGGGAAGAGGGACTTGGGAAGAGCTTCTCAACTGTGAGGTAGTCCTTTTCGAACTTCGGGCTGACTTTCCTTTGCTGCGATATGTACCCTAAAATCCCATAGATAAGAGCGGTTTAATTTACCGGTGAAAAATGAATTGGAATGAAATTGAAATTGAATGCAGTCACCCCTCTAACTTGATGGATGGATAAATAAAAATCGGAGAAGAAGTTTAGAAGAAGCTCCGTCCCTCAACTCTAAACCCCGCCCACTTAATAAACAATTCATATAGAAAAATAGCGATTTTAACGGAATTTCTGCCGGAATCTCTCTAGAAATGCCGGAATTTGATCTCTGGATAGAACTTGAAGAGCCCATTCGATCAGTAAAATTCCATAGATAAGAGCGGTTTAATTTACCGGTAAAAAATGATTTTGAAAAAATATTTTTATTTTTATTTTATTTTTGAAAAAATATCTATGGACCGCTCTTATCTATGGGATTTTAGGGTAGTAATGGGTTCTAACACATAAAGACCTTGTGGCGGTTTTCGAGTTAGGATCAAGCTACCCTGCCCTTCAAGAAGCGAGAAAGTGTCGGCTGCAGACCATGCACCACAAGTGACGACGGCCTTGCTTAATATGTTAATGTTTTCTGCCAATGAAATGATTAGCCTGTTGCAGTTGTGTTCTATCAATTGTCACAAATTACATCTATCATTTAGCAGAAATCAGCGATCACTACGAACAACTTCTGACCTAATTTACTCGAGGCAATCGTCCGTTGTGGTGTTTTAGTCCCGCAATCCGACATTTTTCTCGCTTTTGAGGAGGTTAAACTGCAAATGTCCTACACTAATAAATCGAAATTAATAAACTCGTGCAATTGGAAAGCACCACTCCAGTCAGCAAGCTTGCAGTAGACTGGTAATTTGGCAAAGCTCTGTAAGCATAAACAGCTTATCCTGTGCTTTAGTGTTTCCTTCCAGAATGAGAGTAAAGTTTTCTGCAAACATTCCAAGAGGCTCAATCAACAACTTTATTCTATCCAGGGAGATCATTCACTACCGTTTTGGAGTTTTTGTTCCTGTCGAGGAGTTGAGTTCTTCGGTTGTGCCAAGGCAGCTATTCCTTCAGCGTCTAGTCGATACAGTAACCAACCCTCCTTCTTTGTGAGATTCTCGCACGGCAACGTCTCATAGAAAGCGATTGCATTGGAATTCCAATCGAGCACATTCCATTGGAGTCTAAATGTGAAATGCTAATCCGTGTAGTGTTCTCTGCAAATGACCCACTCCGAGTCCTTCTTCATTAACAAACCTTTTTTGCAAACCATTTTTGGATCTGTTCCGGTAGAGGGGGTATTGCTGGTGCACATCCGGTACCCAAGTTTTATGCAGTTTTGGTCTGCAAAGAAGTCTTAATTCATCTCAATTTTTTACCTCGTCTTGAACTAACTCTGAGGCCGGTTTATAATTTGCTGGCGTGCCTGCTTTCTCTAAAGGTGTATCTCCAACACAATTAGGAGTTCAACATTCCTTTCCTTCGCTCACTTCTCTCCGGTCTCCAGCTTCCTGCAGCCGAGTCACAAAGTTTTGTGGAGAACTCCGCCCACCTTGGAAATGCCCCGCCCACCAACAGCAGTTGGGCTCCACTCCTTCACCCACCTCTATCCACCTTTTTCCCGGTCTCCGGGACTTCTTGGAACCGAGTTATGAATTTCCGTCGCAAACTCCGCCCACTTTGGTGTGAGCTCTACTCACCCAACAGTTAGCCTCCTTTCCGTTGTCGATCTCAATTCACTTTTTTCCCGGTCTTATGAATTCCTTCGCAAACTCGTACTTTGCTCATGCCCGCCGCTAATGCGTTGGGCTCCATTCCTTCACAACCTCTATCCTCCCTTTTCCCGGTCTCGGGGCACCTTGGAACGAGTTATGGATTTCCAGTCGCAAACTCCGCCCACTTTGGTGTACGCTCTACCCACCAATAGCAGTTGTCACAATTCACTTTTTTCTCGGTCTTCAGGACTTCTTGGAACCGAGTTATGAACTTTCGTGATATTCGCAATTCGAAATGCCCAGCCCAACGATGACTTTGCTCCACTCCTTCACCCACCTCTATCCACTTTTTCCGGCTCACTAAGACTTCTCCGGCCCGAATTATGAGGACTTGTAGAAAACGCTGTACACTTCAGAGCGCCCCCCATTGTGGGCGGACCTCCGCCAACGTCGTGTATGCTGGAAACACCTTAGACATTGCTCCCTTACACCAAATTGTTTTCTGCTCTGTAGGCTTTCTCCCAACCGAGTTATGAAATTTTTCATAAAGCACTGCTTTTTTAGAGAACGCCCCGCCCACCGGGGGTGGGTCTCCCTAATTCGATGTTACTTACCAATGCACACCTTTAGCCCACTTTTTGGCCCAGTTTCGAGGTCGTTTTTCACTGAAATCGAAATCCTGGTCTTGTGGTACAATTCATTTCGACGCACGCCACGCCCTCTGTGGGCGGGGTTCCGCTTAGCTGATGTGTGTTTTGTATTACGTGAGACCCTGCCCACCCATCCCACACTTGACCCGGTCCCTCCAGGCGGATCCCGAGGAGCTAGGGAATTTCGTGACAGACATACAGAACGACACAGACAGACGACAGACGAAGCGCTTTATAGTAAGTAGGATACGAAAAGTAATTAACCTATAACAATGCGTTTTGGTTTCCAGCAGCATAATATGTAAATTGCTTACCGTTCTACATGTAGTTCCTTGGCCAACACTCCAAGTTCTCTCCACAGCAATCGACCGTATCCTTTACGGCGGATGTGGTGTACATACGTCCTCCATATGGATATATTGTCTTCCCAAGTGGTAGGCATAGTAGAAGAGAAGAATTGCCGCCGGTTCATCACCTTCATACAGCACAAAACCGTCAACGGACTTCTTCTCAAGATCGCTAGCCAGTCGCACTTCATCAATCTGAATTAGGCAGTGGTTCGCACAATATGGAAAAACAAAAGAGTGAGAAGAAACTTTATTTATTCATCTCTTCTACGAGAAAAATGCTCAATCTGGTGCATTTATCACTGCCATGTTGAAATCTTATGTGAATGACAGAATATAAAAATAGAAACAGGCAAGCTTTGGTTAGGAGGTCAACGGTGTAAAAGTCTCAGCCTACGCTGAAAATATTCGAAAAAAAAGTTACCAACAAACAAGTACGCGTCAAAATGGAATAGGAACCTGGAATATAGAAGAAAATATCCAGTGGAAATATCCAGTACAATGTAAGTGGGTGAAAACGAGCACACGGCGCATTCGGGGCAAACGTTGTGTACTCTCTTCCTTTAACTGACTCGCTAGTAGGAGTGATTCTATATGCTCGTACACATTATTACCTCTTGAATGAATTTCGAGCGCATAGTGCTTGCAAATAAGTTCACTTTCAAAACTGTTGAATTTTGAACTTCAAAGCGCCAACGTTACAGGGCAACACGCCAAAGAAGTGTCTGGGAGAATCTATTCGTAGATGGGATAGAGCATCTTCACGTTGTGCAGATGTAGGCGTTTGTAAGCGGCTAAATGCGGACAAATGGCGCTAGGGTATTCCGAGTCAGCTTTTGGCGACTGATCCTAGCATTTGACAAATGCGTCACGGCTCATTTATGACACGGTCAGCGTGGATTACGGCGCAGCGCGTAGTCCAAGATAGGCGCGGGTTAGTTGAGCCGTGGAGTAGGCAGGTTCAAACAACTCGGCTGGCCCCGCCCCTTCTTATTTCAGGGCCTCCATCGACGGTTCCTTTTAATTTTCTTTTTTATTTTTCGATCACAATTCATTATCACGCGATGCAACCCGGATTTCGAACTGGGCGGAGGGGTGTTTTAGAGACTCGCCAGCTGTTCAATAAAGTCATAGACTCTGAAAAGTCCCTTCCTAAGTTGAGGTACACGACGGTCATAAGAAATTCTTATACCTTAAAATTCGAAGCAATAATTTTCGTGAAGTAGTGGAGAACTGTGAGCTGCACGCTTACCATAATCTTATTCTAACTCGTAAGCTGATCTGTCGAGAAGCGTGTAACGACAAACGTACGTGGCTGTTTACGCTTGGCTGGGTCATATGAAATATAGGACTTAACTGTTGTTGCTACAGCAGGGTAGAACTCACTCAATCAACATGGGCATCTAGGTAACTTGAAAGCAACAAAAGCGGGAAAGACGTCCATAAGATTTCTAGCACTGTAAAGAGATTCAGGGTAAGTCGCAGGAGTTCTTTGATTGCCACAATCGTTACTCGTTAAGAGGAAATGCTAGCTTCCAAGGATCAAACCTGATCCATCCTATGAAATGATTCTCACCTTAACAGCTTCGGGCATTTTCTCAAATTCTGGCGAGCTCTCTGATCATACTCATAAGAACTTGGCGCATCTGCTGGAGTAGCACGATTCACTCGCAACCGGCCATTACCTGAATGGGAGCAGAGTAAAAAGTGATAGAAGATCAAGCTTCCACTGAAAACAAGTCCATTCCCTGCTATGGCAGGCAATCTTCATATTCGTTGTGAATTTTATACAGAATTTTAAAGGGCAATATTCGCGATGAAATTGACGCATTGAACCGCGTCAAAATGGAAACATGAGGGGCAAGGAGGACCGTCAGTGGGTGAAAATGCCAAAGGATTTTCAGGAAACGCTAGAGTCAAACGCCGCTTCCCCTTTAGAGGTCGATCGCGGTGGCGACGGGAAACATAGCGTGGCTAGGAGTGGGAATACACGAGAGAGCACTTCATACGAGAGGGTGCAGACACCAAGAAAAAGTTGCGAACGAGTAAAAATGCCAAGGATCACACCTGTAAATGTAATGCTTTTAGCACGTAGTGGTGCTGTTTTATTTGCTTCACTGGTACATACTATTACTTGCACTTACAGTAGCGGTCAAAAGTGTTCGCCAAAACGCTTTTTCGTGCATTTCATTTCTTCCTTCCAGAGAAAAGATCTGAAAGATTAGTTTGAAGCCTTTCTTTCAAATATCTGAACTTTTCAATAGTCAAGGTTTTAAAGGCTTCGAAAGGCATGTCTCATTGAATACTTGAAGTGGCACTGTTTGAGTGAGAAAAAATGATGCACGAAAAACGTTTCGGCGAACACTTTCACGCTAGTGTTGTGCACGCTAACCACATCGCGGAGATTATTGTTTATACGAAGTTATTACGCAGGTTTGCTTATTAATGACCTCCACTGTAGGATGTTGGAATAGTAGGAGTTCTTGCCGTCCAAGACGAGTCTTGTGTCTATATCTAAAAATGAAAAGGTTGGCGAGCCTGGGCGAGATTCCTTCTGACAGTCAACCCCCGGGGCGTGTGGGCTTGTAAGCGCGGTCTAAGTGTTGACGCTGACCGCGCTATAACATACTAGATCACCGCCAATCTAATTCGACAAACTCAAATTGTAAACGTTGAGGAAAGGCTTAATCAGCAGTCAGTCACACAAAGGAGACAAATAAAGGAAAACCTTTCAGAGTAGAATAATATAGAAGAAAATCAAGTAGAATATGTAAGTAGACGCAAATTCGATCCGCATTTCGCTTATGAAGTTGTTTGCGTGCTCATAAAAATCGTCACAAGAATTTTTCGAAGATAACAAAAGTACTGGCCGATAACACGTCCAATGCAGTGAATTAGGGTTGAGCACACGTCAAGGAGTTCTAAACAGGACTGCTTCGCATTTGTCCGGGACAGGTGGAGGGTGGAGTAGAGGGGAAGATTAGTGCATATATAGTGGGTGGGATCATTGTGATGATATTATGACTCTATCGAGTTCAAACGACGCAGTACCATACATTTCATGCGTAAAAGCGGAGCGGTGAGAATTTTTTGGAGGGAGTGTAAAAAAAATTCAATAAATCATTGCCGGGTTAGGCACTCAACAGCACGGACGTGGTTTAATGTGGGGGCGCGGGCAACTGAAGGAGGATTCCACGATAAGAACGAAGGTCGAAGAAGGGAAACTCACCTAGTGGAGAGACAGGCGGACTTCCTAAGGGTGCGAACCGGCACGTAATTCGCATCGAAGGATATGCCCCCGGCGATCTAGCATGGCCTTTTTCCCGGCGGCGCAATTGGCGCGCTATGGCCCGGTGGCACGCCCCTCTGGCAGTCGTCTCCTGTCTGGATCTCCAACCGTTCGACAGAGAGAGCGTTAGCCTTGAAGAGGGCAGCATCGATGAGAATCGTATCAATGCGCAAACCGGCAGACAATGGATCCCTTTTCTCAGGTTCTAAGCCATTTTTTCGTTTTTTCTCCTTTCATGCCCACTGACCATCTCCCACTTAATTTCTGATAGGCCCTTTCACCGTGAGATCCAATTTAAGAGATGCGGCATTTACAGAGGATTGTTAAGTTGTGCCAATAATTCAGTTGAATTGCGCCAAGGGTTGGCCTGCATAGTGTTTTCCAGTATTAGTCGCTAATGAAAAATACTGAGAATATATTACAGTAAAATTTGCGTTTACATTGGTAACATCATTTCCAAACACACTATCTAATATCATGTTGTATAGTCTCCCTCCAGCCAGAATGTAACTTCTAATCTCTCTGTAGCGCTTCCATGGTGGGCCGACGGTGATAATATCTCCTAATTTCTCTGGAGTGCTGCTTCCAAACTGTCAATGCTGGAAATGTGTAGGGGAAGAAAGGCTGCTGGTAGATTATCTGAAGTAAAACAATACCTCTTTAATCTGAAGAAATACACGCTCTTCATGCGAGTCCATCTCTGTGAATGTACGAATCTGCGCCAGATTCACACTTTCTCTATAAAATAATATTACCATTTTAGCAAAAATGATCAACGAGACATGTCACACTAACAACAAAACATTCATGTACCTATAGCCGAGTGTGACAACTTCGTCGAAAGCGAAGATCAAGTCAAAATCATGCGCTAGGATTTCCTTTTCGTCGTTTGACCGGCAATACTCAGGAATCTGAAGTTGAACATAGAATATTTACACTTGTCAGCTTTTCAGCATACCTTGAGACTGCGTTAAAAATGAACAAACATTAACGAAAGTAAGTGTTCTGATAAAATAGGAAAAATTTATGTGCGATTCTGCAGGGATTACCGCAACGCAGACTATCTGAGGATAAGTGAAAAGGTTTAGTTCTGGTCAATACGTTATTGGGCGCGCCACGGACTCGGGCTTCACTTCACATTGTCCCAGCCGTCCAAGCCCCCTCCCCCCGAAAGTGGTCAACCCAGTAGTGTACATCGGTAGGCCTTCCATATAGGCACTAGAATGCCATCACCATTCTGTGTGGAAGTCAAAACCGTGACACACCTCATGGAAGTTTGATGATCCTTTGAACTTGCCCATTTCAAGCGGAATAGCGAAAATAGACCACTTACCACGCGTGAGAAGAGTCTCAAGGTTTCAAGATCTTCCAGAATATTTGAAGTCTTGGTTGTGATGAGCACCATGTAAAGGTTATCCAGAAGGATGGTAGACATAGCGTACACTGTCGGTCTCGATAAATGTATGCTGTCGTTGAGCTAAATACTTATAACGCCTTTTTACTTATAACAGAGTTTTCCATAAACAGCACCATCACCCATGGAATAGTTTGAGAAGCTGGGCTAAGATCTTCAACAGACCAAGAAGGTTCAAACGTACAATTTCCGTCAAAAAATGTCGAAAGTGTACGGAGCAACTTTTTGAAGAAGCTGCTTACAGCCCAACCTTTCAAAATACTCAGCAGTGCAGTAAACTTATAAGAAAAAGTGAAATAGAAGCCCGAAATAAATAGAAAAAACAACACATGAAACGAAGACAGTGGAACAAGCTTGTTAACGAACAAAAAAGAAGCAGAAAATGAAGAATCACTGGTGGACAAGCCAATTAATCGAGCACATGACGGAAGCTATTAAAAGTGCAACTAAATGATGGAAAAAACCTGTTTTCCCACTAACCTGCTTTGGTTGCATCTGAAGTTAAGCTATATAAGGGCATATACAGACCACTCAATGAAAATTCTGTTTCTCCGCCAAACTGTGGAATTCACTACAGTTATATGGTGAAAATGAGATGTTGACATAATGTTACTGGCTTGGTTCAGGTCTTCTCCATCAAATATAGCGGAAATTTGAAATTTTGAACAACCCTTCAAGACACTCACTCTCCACAAGGACGTATTTAAGGCCCCCATACTCGATGTTTAATGCCCGTCAAAGAATGAAGGCGGTGTAACAGAGCACTTCGTGAATCCCTGCTTAGTATCAGGGCAATTTTCCTCCAGAAACTGCGCGGTGAGAAACGGATCTTCCTCGAATTGACTACCCACCCGATTCTTCCTTGGTTTCCTTCAGCTTAGGTCTACAACGCCTACGATTCTCCTACAGTTATGTAGCATCCATTGCATAATTCGGTGCATTCTACAATAAATGAGCTAAGCTTGCGTACTTAGGCGAGTGGGTAGTTTGAAATTCCTAGGAACTTACTATTTTATAGATTTTCACGTTGCTGTGAACTCATTTGCCCAAAGCAGAGGGATAGGCGATTACCGAACCCATAAAATCGTCAAAGTTCTGGCTTGAACAAAACAAACATAGCTTTTTGATGCTTATTCTACTTCTAGCCGTTGGAAAAAGGAATAGGATTGAAAGTAAAGCTCAGGACTGGGAAATTACACCGTTTGGAATAAAAGCATACCTGAGTCTTTGTCGTTGCCTATGAGTTTTGGAAATGCATCAAGCAAGCCGCGTCCCCTCAGCCAGGACGAGCTCGGTCCTATCGAGGACGAAAACCGCGGGGGGACAACGGTTGCCTGCAAATCTGTGTACGTGTGGTGCGGAAATTTTGGGGTGACACTGCGTCATTATATGCTGACAAACTTTCCAGACTCACACAACACTTGCCGAGATCAACACCATTGCGATTTAGTTCAATTCACAATTTACCCTGCAAAAACAACACATTCATAACGACTCGACAACGCTCTTACGCTAAGCATTTTTCCCAAATAACAAAGCAGATATTGAACAAAATAAACGAACAGGCCCAGAAACTTTCGTAGAACGCCTTTCAAAAGAAAATTTCATAGCAAAGCGAACCATAACATTATACACTCCCTCGTCAATACAACACAGGAGGTTATGAAGACAAAGGGCTATTAAAACGCACATATTAAACTGAGATGACAGCCGTCGAACGTTCCAAAACGTGGTGGGTCCAGAGTGAGCCTTCCACGACTTGGCAGCCGGCCAGCGCTACCGCTCTCGTTGCTTCGTCGCGGGACCACATCTCTGCGCTGCAGACTCTTCCTTCATGCTTGCTGTTTTGCTTTGTGTTCTTGAATAAGGAGCTCGAATTGTTGCCTAGTACGGATACGACAGAATCCTACGGCGTTCGAAAGGACAACCTTTACATGGCACAAGCTCTGTTCAGTGAGGCTTAAATAACTGCGGAGATCTTAAGGGGACACTTGTTGGCTCACTGATGTCTGGAACTTTGGTCTTGTCAGTTCTCTAACCCCACCAGCAACTTATGGACAAGGACCGTTAAGCCCATCAAAAAATCGCCGCACCAGCTGCCGCGCGCGACGCTGCCCGCCGCGTGACCTCACTAGCCGACGATTGAATGACCGTCTCCCCAATTACATGACTGTCATTGGGTGTTTCTCCAAACCATGTCTTGAAGAATCAAGGGAGATCGAACGGTCCAAAGGCGGTTGTTTTTGTTGTACATACAGGTCGTCAGCATATTTCTGACACTGCTGCAATTCGAGCGGGGCAAGGTGAGGTCGCTGAGTCTCGTGCGCAATTCTGAAGCCTGACCTCTCTCAACGAAAGGTGAAAATTCGCACATCGTCACGGTAGCCAATATTCAAAACTTCTACGATCACCACTACTCCGGTCGCCACCACGACGCTCCATGACGCGTCAAAACTCCTCTGAATCTACGATTTTTTTACCCATCTCACGATCAGCCTCCACTGCGGTCAACCTCAGTGGAGAGGCTGACATGGGCGTGTCAAAAAAATAATTTTCAATCAAACTTCTGCTGGGAGGAGGGGGAGGATCGAAGGTCCTGATAACAAATATGACACCATTTTTGACGCTGGTGCCAAATTGGCACCACGACCGATTATCACCAAGTTCGCTGTAAACTGCTGTATAGGGTTATTAGGAGCCCTGATCACGAACATGACTCTCATTTTTGACACTCGTGCTTTTTAACGCATATTTTATGCTTTTCTGAGGTTTCTCACTTATAGCGCTTAAGACTAAACTTAGGGGAGCAGAAGTTGGAGTGTGTTAGACCACAGGGGAGTGGTCTACTCACTTTGGAACCCTCCACTATTCGAAGGCTTTGTCCTGATTGCGATCTAGTTAATGCGAGGGCGCAGACGAGCAGGAAATAGAGGCCGAATAGCGCCAAAACGAATGTCGTATCTCGCTAATCACGGTCCCCAACAAACCTCTTATTTCACAACAATTTCAGCGAATTTAGTAGGAGTCAGTTGCGGCGCCACCTGCCGCCAAAGGCCCCGTTCATGCATCGCGGTTAAAGCGAAATGGCTCTGATGTTGAAAAGCAAACATAGGTATCGATCTAAAAATTGCCGATTACACGATAAAGCGATTGACGATTCTCGCGCGGTTATGGTTTCGAAGGGCTGGATGACAATTGATTGTAACTGACGCGTTGTCTGTCAAATAACCAGTTCGTCGAGACGCATATGTCGAATTGAATCCTTCTAGCTCGCACCGCATAACATTCTGTTCATCCATAACCGTGTGTTGGTGCATCAAATCGATACAAATCGCGATGTTGACCTGTTGAGTGAACGACGGCCAAATGGGCCAATTCGCGCTGGCCAGACGCAAAAAGATGATACACAGTCTGTGAACAGGACCCTTCGATTAGCCCCCATTGGGGAAGAGTGCAGCTCAAAGGATTATTTTTTGACACACATCTCACCCTACGGTGGCTCTGAATAGTGGTGCAATAAGTGAACTTCTAACAGTGGAAACTCCCTCGGACTCTAAATTTGGAGCGAGAAAAAGTGCGAAAAAAAAAACCTTTCGTATGAAAAAAAAAAAGATTGTTGGTTTAGATATCGAAGGGGGGGGAGTCCAAGGTTAGTGAACCTCGCCTTCAGAAGACCAGAGTTGTGCAATTGCAGAAATTGACGTGGCATTGACGTGACATCGATCCAAGAACATCTTTAAGCATACGTGATGTCATCTTTTCATCGAGAATTTAGCCACGTGTGCCACGTGGATTTCTGGCTGGCGACGAAACAGAGTTTACTTGGCGGAGATGGGATATATAGCATAGTCAACCTGCGTTGCGCAGTTCTCAACGGCCACGTTGCGCAGTTTCGCCCGATTAGACACGTTCTCTCGCGCGAAACATTCACACTCGCATGCTCGAGCCGTCTGCGTCTCCGCCCATACAGCGTGCGTTGAGGATCTCTCAACGTGCCGTTGCGAACTGCGCAACGCAGGGTTGACCTACGTTATAGCCTGCAGGGGTTACACGAGGTCTAACCGGGTCCACTCTACGTGTTCTATGTGGGTTTCGTTCTCAGCTCGATCGGGAAAATGGAAATAAGCGAAAACCTAGACATTGTCAACTATCGTTACTTTTGTCTAGTGTCGCAAGAACTTTCGTTTCATAAACGCACATTGACTGGGAACTGTAGTTGGTAACACTGCTCCTTTTGCTGACGAGATATGTAGTAATCGGGTTCTACCACATCAAGACCTTCTGGCGGTTTTCGAGTTAGGATCAAGCTACCCTCCCTTCAAAAAGCGAGAAAGTGTCGGGTGCAGACCATGCACCACAAGTGACGACGGCCTTCACAAAATGTTAATGTTTTCTGCCAATGAAATGATTAGCCTGTTGCAGTTGTATTCTATCGATTGTCACTAATTACAACTATCATTTACCAGAAATCAGCTATCACTATGAACAACTTCTAACCAGATTTACTTGGAGGCCGTCGTCAGTTGTGGTGTTTGGTCTGCACCCGACACTTTCTCGCTTTTTGAAGGGGAGGTTAACTGCAAATGTCCTACAACTCAATAAATCGAAATTAATAGACTCGTGCAATTGGAAAGCACCACTCCAGTCCAGCAAGCTTGCAGTAGACTGGTAATTTGGCAAAGCTCTGTAAGCATAAACAGCTTATCCTGTGCTTTTTTTAGTGTTCACCTTCCAAAATGAGAGGTAAAGTTTTCTGCAAACATTCCAAGAGGCTCAATCAACAACTTTATTCTATCCAGAGAGATCATTCACTACCGTTTTGAAGTTTTTGTTCCTGCCGAGGAGTTGAGATCTTCGGTTGTGCCAAGGCAGCTATTCCTTCAGCGTCTAGTCGATACAGTAACCAACCCTCCTTCTTTGTGAGATTCTCGCACGGCAACGTCTCATAGAAAGCGATTGCATTGGAATTCCAATCGAGCACATTCCATTGGAGTCTAAATGTGAAATGCTAAGCCGTGTAGTGTTCTCTGAAAATGACCCACTCCGAGTCCTTCTTCATTAACAAACCTTTTTTGCAAACCATTTTTGGGTCTATTCCGGTAAGAGGGGGTATTGCGGTGCACATCCGTCGACAAATAACGAAGTTATACACTTTGCCTAGGCGCAGCAGGCTCCTGTACGGCAGTTAACGGTGTTGATGACGACGATATTCCGGTAGCCGACGATGTGAAGTTTGTACCTTAAGCCATGGCCAACATAACATGCTCAGTTAAAAAATAGAAGAATAACAGACCTGGCTTGAGACCCTTGCTGAGAGCCTCCTTCTGCATTCGTTTGAATTCCTTCGCCTTCTCGGCCATAGCTTGCTTGGCAGCTCTCGTTCTTGCGCCTGTATTCATTCAAACGGTTAGCGGAAGTTCGCAGTGGAAAATAGGGCTAATGACAATCTATCTGAAGTAAAACAATACCTCTTTAATCTGAAGAAATACACGCTCTTCATGCGAGTCCATCTCTGTGAATGTACGAATCTGCGCCAGATTCACACTTTCTCTATAAAATAATATTACCATTTTAGCAAAAATGATGCAACGAGACCTGTCACACTACCAAAACAACAAAACATTCATTGTAGCGCGTATAGCCCCGAGTGTGACAACTTCGTCGAAAGCGAAGATCAAGTCAAAATCATGCGCTAGGATTTCCTTTTCGTCGTTTGACCGGCAATACTCAGGAATCTGAAGTTGAACATAGAATATTTACACTTGTCAGCTTTTCAGCATACCTTGAGACTGCGTTAAAAATGAACAAACATTAACGAAAGTAAGTGTTCTGATAAAATAGGAAAAATTTATGTGCGATTCTGCAGGGATTACCGCAACGCAGACTATCTGAATCACTTATTGGGCGCGCCACGGACGTCGGCTTCATACTTCCATTGTCCCATGCCGTCCCAAGCCCCCTCTCCCCGAAATTGGTCAACCCAGTAGTGTACATCGGTAGGCCTTCCATATAGACACTAGAATGCCATCACCATTCTGTGTGGAAGTCGAAACCGTGACACACCTCATGGAAGTTTGACGATCCTTTGAACTTGCCCATTTCAAGCGGAATAGCGAAAATAGACCACTTACCACGACGTGAGAAGAGTCTCAAGGTTTTCCAGATCTTCCAGAATATTTGAAGTCGTGCGTTGTGATCGAGCACCATGTAACAGTTACTCCAGAGGAATGGTAAGATCATAGCGTACACTGTCGCGCTCTCGATAAACGTATGCTGTCGTTGAGCTAAATACTTGTAACGATTTTTTACTTGGAATCAAGTTTTCCATGAACAGCACCATCACCCATGGAATAGTTTGAGAAGCTGGGCTAAGATCTTCAACAGACCAAGAAGGTTCAAACGTACAATTTCCGTCAAAAAATGTCGAAAGTGTACGGAGCAACTTTTTGAAGAAGCTGCTAACAGCCCAACCTTTCAAAATACTCGCAGTGCAGTAAACTTATAAGAAAAAGTGAAATAGAAGCCCGAAATAAATAGAAAAAAACAACACATGAAACGAAGACAGTGGAACAAGCTTGTTAACGAACAAAAAAGAAGCAGAAAATGAAGAATCACTGGTGGACAAGCCAATTAATCGAGCACATGACGGAAGCTATTAAAAGTGCAACTAAATGATGGAAAAAACCTGTTTTCCCACTAACCTGCTTTGGTTGCATCTGAAGTTAAGCTATATAAGGGCATATACAGACCACTCAATGAAAATTCTGTTTCTCCGCCAAACTGTGGAATTCACTACAGTTATATGGTGAAAAATGAGATGTTGAATATAATGTTACTGGCTGGTTCAGGTCATCTCCATCAAATATAGCGGAAATTTGAAATTTTGAACAACCCTTCAAGACACTCACTCTCCACAAGGACGTATTTAAGGCCCCCATACTCGATGTTTAATGGCCCGTTCGCCGAGAATGAAGGCGGTTTGTAACGAGCACTTCGGGAATCCCTGCTTAGTACCAGGGCAATTTTCCTCCAGAAACGGCGCGGCGAAAACAGGGTCTTCCTCGAATTGACTACCTACCCGATTCTTCCTTGGTTTCCTTCAGCTTAGGTCTACAACGCCTACGATTCTCCTACAGTTATGTAGCATCCATTGCATAATTCGGTGCATTCTACAATAAATGAGCTAAGCTTGCGTACTTAGGCGAGTGGGTAGTTGAAATTCCTAGGAACTTACTATTTTATAGAATTTTCACGTTGGTGAACTCATTTGCCCAAAGCAGAGGGATAGGCGATTACCGAACCCATAAAATCGTCAAAGTTCTGGCTTGAACAAAACAAACATAGCTTTTTGATGCTTATTCTACTTCTAGCCGTTGGAAAAGGAATAGGATTGAAAGTAAAGCTCAGGACTGGGAAATTACACCGTTTGGAATAAAAGCATACCTGAGTCTTTGTCGTTGCCTATGAGTTTTGGAAATGCATCAAGCAAGCCCTCCATACGAGCTCGTGTCATATCGGAGACGAAAACCCGTGTGACAAGTGCTGCAAATCTGTGATACGTGTGCGGAAATGAAAGGTAGGCGCAATGTGGCTCGGGGGGGGCACCTCGCAACATCGCGTCAAAATCACGGAAACGCTCCGTTTTAGGACTAAGCTTTTGAAGAGGAGAGGAACTCCGGTGTACGGAAGCAATTTTCGTATTCTCCGGAGTTCGTCCCTGCTGTTTAGGCTTAGTCCTAGATGACTTTTCTCAGAGAGTGCCCCCCCCCCCCCCCCCCCCTGAGCCACATTGCGCCCCAACGCTCATTACCTTTCCCCGTCTTGGCGACCTTACGACACAACACTTGCCGAGATCAACACCATTGCGATTTAGTTCAATTCACAATTTACCCTGCAAAAACAACACATTCATAACGACTCGACAACGCTCTTACGCTAAGCATTTCTCACAAATTAACAAAGCAGATATTGAACAAAATAAACGAAAAGGCCCAGAAACTTTCGTAGAACGCATTTCAAAATGAAATTCATAGGAAAGCGAACCATAACAGTATACTCTCCCTCGTCCGTACAATACCTATGAAACAAACTAAGGAACCAAATGAGATGACAGCGCTTGAACTTCCAAAACGTGGTTCCAATTACCTTCCAACGGAATTGGCAGCCGGCCAGCGCTACACGTCTCAAACGTATTCGTCGCGGGACCACATCTCTCGGCGCTGCAGACTCTTCCTTCATGCTTGCTGTTTTGCTTTGTGTTCTTGAATAAGGAGCTTTTGAATTGTTGCCTAGTACGGATACGACAGAATCCTACTTTGGATCTCATACAATGAATGAATTATTTGGACCTAAAAAGAAAAGGATGTACGAGAAGGCGAGCAGATGCAATTACATGACTGTCGTTTGGGTGTTTCTCCATACCATATCTTAAAGAATCAAGTGGCATCTAAAACCTCTTGTTGCACATGCAAGTCGTCAGTATACCCTCGCCTTCAAATAACGCAAGAATGCTGCAATTGCTGAAATTGGTGGCACTGACGTGCATCGATTCAAGAACATCTTCCGTGATCCTACTTTTCATCGAGAGTTTTAGGCCACGCTGGCCCACGTGAATGATTGGCCCCCCTTTACATGCACGTCAAGTTCTGGCATTGCAACAAATTTCCTGGTTATTGAAGGCGTGGGTATTCTGACGCTGGCTAATTCGAGCGGGGCAAGGTGAGGTCGCTGAGTCTCGTGCGCAATTCTGAAGTCTGACCTCTCTCAACGAAAGATGAAAATTCGCACATCGTCACGGTAGCCAATATTCAAAACTTCTACGATCACCACTACTCCGGTCGCCACCACGAACGCTCCATTACGCCTCAAAACTCCTCTGAATCTACAACTTTTTTTTTTACCCATCTCAGCCTCCACTGCGGCCAACCCCAGTGGAGGCTAGAGTGGCAAAAATAATTTTCAATTAAGACTCTGCTGGAGGAGGGGAGGTTATCGAAGTCCTGATAACGAATATACACCATTTTGAACGCTGGCCAAATTGGCGCCACACTGATATCACCAGTTCGCTGTAAACTGCTGTATAGGGTTATTAGGCCCTGATCACGAACATGACACTCATTTTTGACACATTCGTGCTGTTTAACGCATACTTTCTGCTTTTGAAGCTTTCTCACCTATAGCGCCTAAGACTAAACTTAGGGGAGGGGTGAAACTCCGGAGTGGGTAAACCACGCACCGTGTGGCAAAAGTTGGAGTGTGTTAGACCACAGAGGGAGTGGCCTACTCACTTTGGAGCCCTCCACTATTCAAAGGCTTAGTCCTGATTGCGATCTAATTAGTGCGAGGGCGCAGACGAGCAGGAAATAGGCGCCGAATAGCGCTAACAACAAAAACGAATGTCATATTCGTAATCAGGACCCAAATAACCCCTATACAGAAGTTTACAGCGAATTTAGTGGGAATCAGTTGCGGCGCCACCTGCGCGCCAAGGCCCCGTTCATGCATCGCGGTTAAAGCGAAATGGCTCTGATGCTGAAAAGCAAACATAGTATCGATCTAAAAATTGCCGATTACGCGATAAAGCGATTGACGATTTGGCGGTTATGTTCGAAGGGCTAGGATGCACATTGATTGAACTGACGCCGCCCAATAACCATTCGTCGATACGATATGTCGACGATCCTCTAGTCGATACGCATACATTCCTTTCACCATAACCGTCTATGTCATCAAATCGTCAAATCGCATTGACCCGTGATCTATGAACGGCCAAATGGCGCCGAAGTGGCGCCAGCGCCAAAAAGAACATCATATTCTCGTGATGCAGGACCTCAATAGGCCGGGCGACGGACTTTTGGCTCGTCCGGGTTAGCACGCGGCAAATTGCGCGGCGAGCGGCGCGGCGATCCCGACGCATCGCGGGAATTCAACACGTCAACGTGTGAAGATTGCGGATAAAATCCGCAAGGTTCTGCAATACGAAATACATCTGAACGGCTGGAATTTTGAGGACAGCGGTGGTTGTAACAGTAGAAAGAGATAAGAAGGAACTAGCGTAGTGCTGTTACGGCAATCAGGGCGCTCATGTCTTTGGGGGGGGGACGTTCCATTAGGGGGAAGTGAGTGAGCCAATCACTGTGTTTGGGACGAGACTTAGGGAGGAGAAGGGATTCTGGGGGAAGTAATTTGTGTTCTCCCTGGCGTTCCTCTCCTGTGCTGGGCTTAGTCCTAGTGACCTACCGTCGACCCTGTTTTGTTGTTTTGTTTCGAATGTTTCTCCTTTGGACGTGAGCGCCTCGATCAGCAAAACATATATAGTTGACGTTAAATACCTCAACAAAAACTCCCAATTTTAGTGACTCTTATTTGCTTTGATGGTAGTAGTGACATTTACATGAATGCCCTCACTCAACTCCTTGCGCTGGATTCTCCTCACCGACTGCTGCTTCCAACCCCCGCGAGCGGAAAGATTTTCAAACAGCAGAACCATGTGGAGTTTATCCGCAATCTGCACACGCATTGACGTGTTGAATTCTACCCGAAGAAACCGCGAAGCCTTGTCCCGTCCAGATCGCCGCGCGTGCCGCCGCGGAACTCGCCGCGTGACAGGCCGGACGAGCCAAAAGTCCCGCACCCATCGACGGCCCCCATGGACAGATTTTACAAAAATTTATTCTTTTGACACATCTCCTGGCGCTGTAATAGTGGCAGTAATGCCGAAAACCCCTCAATCTAAATGGTACAAAATAGTTCGAGAAATTTGTTTTTTTCAATATCGAAAGAGTAGTCCAACTAGTACTGCTGGCAGATAGCGCTTTATAGCTGCAGTAACACGCCCTGGCCTACACCGGTCAGTCTACGCTGGGGTTACTTTCATCCGCCTCGAACGAAAAATGGAATAAAAATCCACAGCGAACCCTAGACATTGCCAATATGCGTTACTTTTGTCTAGTGTCGCAAGAATTTCGTTTCAAAAACGCACATTGACTGGGAACTGTAGTTGGTAACACTGCTTCTAGCGGTGAGATCAACTCGCCACATTTGGGAAGAGGTACTTGGGAAAGAGCTTCTCAACTGTGAGGTAGTCCTTTTCGAACTCGGGCTGACTTTCCTTTTGCTGACGAGATATGTAGTAATCGGGTTCTACCACATCAAGACCTTCTGGCGCTTTTCGAGTTAGGAATCAAAAGCTAACCCCTGCCCTTCAAGAAGCGAGAAAGTGTCGGCTGCAGACCCATGCGCCATGACGACGGCTTCTTAAAATGTTAATGTTTTCTGCCAATGAAATGATTAGCCTGTTGCAGTTGTATTCTATCGATTGTCACTAATTACAACTATCATTTACCAGAAATCAGCTATCACTATGAACAACTTCTAACCAGATTTACTTGGAGGCCGTCGTCAGTTGTGGTGTTTGGTCTGCACCCGACACTTTCTCGCTTTTTTGAAGGGGAGGTTAGATCAATGGCGTACAGCTCAGATAAATCGAAACTTTATAGACTCGTGCAATTGGAAAGCACCCCACCCCAACAAGCTTGCAGTAGGCTAGTGGTTCGGCAGAAAACCCAGTGAGCATCAACAGCATATCCTGTGTACTATTTATTTTCGGTGGACACCCTTAAAAGTGTGACGTGAAGTTTTTCTGCGAACATTCCAAGATGCTTAATCAACAAATTTATTCTATCCAGAGAGATCATTCACTACCATTTTGAAGTTTTTGTTCCTGCCGAGGAGTTGTGATCTTCGGTTGTGCCAAGGCAGCTATTCCTTCAGCGTCTAGTCGATACAGTAACCAACCCTCCTTCTTTGTGAGATTCTCGCACGGCAACGTCTCATAGAAAGCGATTGCATTGGAATTCCAATCGAGCACATTCCATTGGAGTCTAAATGTGAACGCTAAGGCGGTGTAATGTTCCCTGAAGATGACCCACCCGAGTCCTTTTTCATTAAAAGGAATCTTCCACGGAAAAAGCTCCGCCTCCATTACCACAGAAAAACGATACCTTAGGCCCCTAGCCTCATGAGCATAGCAAAAAGAACGGAACATAAGCGTTAGTTTCGATAATACTAATCCTACACACAAGACAAAATGATCACTCTTTCCGTGGAAGATTCCTTTAAGGTAACATTTTTTGCAAACCACTTTTGAGTCTATTCCGGTAGGAAGGGGCATTGCGGTGCACAGTCCGTCCCATACCAGTTTTGCTCAAGGAGTCCTTCAAAGTCAAGAGCTGCTACCATTTCCTTCCTACGTTGTTTTCATACAATGTATGTTGTTCTTGCGTTTATGACATAAACGTCTATGGAAAGTAATATTTACCTTGTAGCGACTAACTAAGCCTAGGAAGGGGGAGGAAATCCTCAGAGAGAAGAAAATTGCTCACGAACCCGGCGGTTTTCCCTCCCTTCTAAGG